CCTGAGCCGATGGCAGACGCTTAACGACTGAGCCACCCAGGCGCCCCTCCCCTCCCAACTTTAAAGTATACAGTGGGCCACTCCTCAAGACCCCGGTGAGGCTCTTCCTGCCCATGGGTCCTGTCCCCGTCTTTTAATAAAACCACCTTTTTGCACCAAATGTGTCTCAAGAATTCTTTCTTGGCCATTGGCTTCAAACCCTAACGTTCTTTCCTACATCACTCTCAGGATGAAGGGGTCATGTAAAGGAAGAATCTTCAGAAACGGCCGAGGACTTAAAAGTAACCTATTCCATCTTGACAACTAGCGCTGGGTGTAAAGGACTACGAATTCCTGTTTCAGTAAGGTAGAACCAGAAAACTCCACTGCAGTCCTTTTTCTCCTTGCCAGCCCTGTGTTATGTTACACCACACCTGATCTACCACCAGGTGATGTAAAGAGAGCCAAACACACCATGACACTGCTAAAGAAAGAGGGACAGAAGAGCCATCTGTATTCTAAGTACGAACTGCTGCCATGAAAAATTCAGAAAATCAGCTTCAATAATTTAAAATGCTTCCTTCTTAAACAGATTACTCAACATGCTACCTTTGAGTATTTGACAATAATCAAGAATAATCTGGTTGTTATCATCAAGGACAGTAATGTGACCAGCCTAAGAGTCTCATGCATGCAATATTTTGAAATCTCAAGGTGGAAAGTACAGAAACTTATGGTCCTTATTGCTGTTATCCACCTTCTCTCTTCCTAGGGTTTTTGAAAAATCACGCATGTTTAAAGAAGAACCCTTATCTTTTAGAGATACGTACTGAAATACATACGGATGAGACGTGATGTCAGGCATGCACTTCCCACACAGCATGAAAGTGGGGCTCTACAGATGAACCGAGACTGCTGAAACTGAGCAGCGGTTTGGGATGGGGATTTCACGGAACCACTCCTCTACTGCTGTATATGTTCAGTACTTTTCATCAAAAAAATTTAAAGATATTATTTATTTATTTGATATGTATCGAGAGAGCACAGTAGGCAGAGAGGCAGGCAGAGGGAGGGAGAAGCAGGCTCCCCGCGGAGCAGGGAGGCCGATGCGGGGCTCGATCCCAGGACCCTGAGATCATGACCTGAGCTGAAGACAGATGCTTAACGACTGAGCCACGCAGGCGCCCCCCCTTTAAAAGATTTTATTTACTTATTTGATATATAGAGAGAGCACAGTAGGCAGTCATTTTAAAAGTTTAAAAATAGGGGTGCCTGGGTGGCTCAGTTGGTTAAGTGACTGCCTTCGGCTCAGGTCACAGTCCCAGGGTCCTGGGATCGAGCCCCACATCGGGCTCCCTGCTCAGGGGGAGCCTGCTTCTCCCTCTGCCCCTCCCCACTTGTGCTTGTGCGCACGCGTTCTATGACAAATAAATAAAATCTTTAAAATAAAAAAAAATTTTTTTAAAGTTTAAAAATATTCATCCCAGGGCGCCTGGGTGGCTCAGTCAGCTAAGCATCTGCCTTCGGCTCAGGTCACGATCCTGGCATCCTGGGATCGAGCCCCACGTCCGGCTCCCTCCTCAGTGGAAAGCCTGCTTCTCACTCTCCCTCTGCCTGCCTCTCTGCCTACTTGTGCTCTCTCTCCATCAAATAAATAAATAATATCTTTTAAAGAAAAACCAAAAAACAGAAAACAAATAAAAATACTCATCACGAGGTGGAATTCTCCAGTTTTTTTTAAACTACTTCACTATCGGGGCACCTGGGTGGCTCAGTTAAGCCTCTAACTTTGGGTCAGGTCATGACCTGGGGGTTGGGGGTGGTGAGGGTAGTTCCTAGGATCCAGGTGGTGGTAAAGGGCTCTGAGCTCAGCGGGGAGCCTGGTTCTCCCTCTCCCTCTGCCACTCCCCCTGCTCCTGTGCTCTCTGTGTCCCTCTCAAATAAATAAATCTTTAAAAATAAATAAACTAGGGGCGCCTGGGTGGCTCAGATGGCTAAGTGTCTGCCTTCGGCTCAGGGTCCTGGGATACAGCCCCCCATCGGGCTCCCTGCTCAGCGGGGAGTCTGCTTCTCCCTCTCCCTCTGCCTCTCCCTCTGCCTCTCCCCCTGCTCATGCTCTCTCTCTCTCTGTCTCAGATGAATAAATACAAAATCTTTTTTAAAAAATAATAAATAAATAAATCAACTACTTCACTATCAGAGAATACTTTTTCTCTTTGCTCTATAATGCATCAGACCTGGGAAAAGTAATCCTGAGTCATAATAAAGGCTAGCAAAGCTCAGACAGGCACAAAAATCAACCTCTCATTACTCTGTAAATTATCCGCTTCAAAACGAGAGCTCCCCTCCGCCATCCCAGGAAGCTTGTCCAGGTCCAGGTACTCCCGACGACCACACCCTGCACTACTTCCAGCGCAGTCTGGGCCAGCAGACAGGAGGGATGCAATGCCACAGATCTGCCTACACACGTCCATTCCACCAAACCCCAAGTCATCCAGGCTTTGCCCCCAAATTTAAAATTCCACCAGGAGAGGGGCACTTGGGTGGCTCAGGTTTCGGCTCAGGTCATGATCTCAGGGTCCCAGAATGGAGCCCCGCTGGGCCCCCTGCCCTCCCCTGCCCACCCCCTCATTTCGTGAGAGCTCCCTCTCTAGCACACACGCGCGCTCTCTTTCTCTCTCTCCCTACAATAAATAAATAAAATCTTAAAATTCCACCAGGAGCTATCAGAGCAAAGAATTTTGACTAATTTCTACTTTGTGATTACAAGAAAGCTCAGCCGCAAATAGCACCCAAAGTTTTTCCCACTGTAATCAATAAGAACAGTTACAAAAGGTGTTTCTCAAACGAAAAGGATTTTATGGAAGTCAGAAACATGAAATTTGTGGAAATATTTTGAGTGACCAAATCTAATAAGCTGAGAGCCACCTAAAGGTTATGAGTGCAGGGGCACCTGGGTGGCTCAGTCGTTAAGCGTCTGCCTTCAGCTCGGGTCATGATCCCGGGGTCCTGGGATCGAGTCCCACATCGGGCTCCTTGCTCAGTGGGGAGCCTGCTTCTCCCTCTCCCTCTGCTGTTACCCCTGTTCGTGCTCTCTCTCTCTCTGACAAATAAATAAATAAAAATCTTAAAAAAAAACCTATGATTTAAAAAAAAAAAAAGGTTATGAGCACATCCCTGCTAGAGCACTGACAATCTGTGAGGGCTTGTGAAAATTATTCAGCCTTCCTGGGCTTCCCGTTCCTTACCTATAGAGTAAGATGAAAACCACCTGCCTACAAGGGCCTCAGAAAAAGGTGATGATCCAGAGAAAACGTTCGTGAGCTTCATATAAGCCAGAGTACTCTCTCAGAGTCAGATTATGATAAAGAACAAATGTAGTATTTCCCTAACACCTCTGACTGCTGTAATGAGGGAGGGTATGTTTGGAGAGAAGACACAAAGCACTAGTAAAAAAACAAAACAAAACAAAAACCGGGGCTCTCTAGCCCAGCGGCACAAAGGAAAAGCAGGAAAAGAAACTGGACCAGCAATCACAATCCATGCTGCCCATATGGGACACTTGTCAGTCATATACCTCTGTGCCCATTAGACTAAGAGGTGGGAGACCCGTCGCAGCAATGTCTTCCAACACAGAGCTAAATTACAAGCAGTACGCTGATCCCAACATTCAGGATGCCCACAGAGACATGCACATCTTCCCGGGCTGACAACTCAGCACAAGGAGCAGTGATCAGGAGGACCCAGATCTTTACACTTACAGCTCAAAAGACACTGTGGATACTCAGGGAGATACATGGATCCCTTATAAAGGTTCCCACATGTTTTAACCGACACCCTAAATAGCAAGGGATCAATTTTACCTCTTTTCTTAAAGACCACTAGGCTTTTTTTTTTTTAAGATTTTATTTAATTTTTGACAGAGAGAGACAGCGAGAGAGGGAACACAAGGAAGGGGGAGTGGGAGAGGGAGAAGCAGGCTTCCCGCGGAGCAGGGAGCCCGATGTGGGGCTCGATCTCAAGACACTGGGATCATGACCTGAGTCGAAGGCAGACGCTTAACAACTGAGCCACCCAGGCACCCCAAGACCTCTAGGCTTAAACACACTGTGCACTTGAACACCCACTTAACAAATGTCTGCAAGGTGAGAAACCAATAAAATATAAAAACTAGCAAATCAGCATTTTAGGGACTTTCTACTCTTCAGTAAAATGTGAACACCAGTAACCTGTGATGTCTCCGGTTATCAGCAGAACACAAAGCGTGATGGTGTCTCTCACCAGGTAAACTTGCCTAAGTGCTGAAATACAGGCCAAGGACAAATCTTGAGGCCCCCTTTCTCCCCGGGGTTGGGTGCGACCTCCGACACACTGCACTGTGCCTTCTCAACACCTGTCTACACGCTTCACTTCTCCGACAGGAAAGGAGCTGGCCCTGATGGAACTCTGCTTCAGTCTGTACCCTCACCCTGCTCTCGGACTCATTCCCCTTCCCTTCTGCACACAAGGTTAGAAGTGAAAACTTTCAGCGTTCAGGGTCTCCCAAACATTAAAAAGATGAGCCTAGGCAGGACATATACCAACCACACACAGCAAAGTGTGCTCAAAATAGGTGTGTGTGGATTAGCATGACGTTCAGTGACCAGGCGCAGTCTGGCCTCTGCGGTGGGAAGGACCGAATGACTTCAGCCAAGCAGCCCTGGGCCCTCAGCTGGGGGAGTCGCTGGGCACGTCTTCATTCAGGGGGCCCTTTTACCAGGCAGCCTGGGGGCAGGTCCCCACGCCAGGAGTTCATCGCCAGGAGCTCATCCCCGTTTGGGAAAAATCCAGCTTGTGTGGCTCGAGAGGACGGGGTTGGGGGCAGGGGGGCCAGGAGAGAAAGTGAGTCTCGGGAATAGAAGCTCCCTCGACGAGAGAAAGGAACGTCAGCGAGATTGAGCCCGAGCTGAGGACACAAGGGAAGAAAGCGTGCACTTCCCGACCTGCCGGACGGCAGGGCCCGGGAGCGCTCGCCCCGTTACCTGCTCTGCCCCGTAGGCCGTGGCGAACTGGACGAAGTCCTCGATGCGAACGAAGCCGTCCCCATCGCCGTCCAGGGCGTCGAATACGGCTCGAAGGCGGGGGCCGTCCTCCGGACACGCCGCGGGCTCGCTCGTTAGGGGGCAGGTCTGGCTGAAGTCCGAGGGCCGGTCCGAGTCCCCGGGACCCACGTCCAGCGTCAGCTCGCCCACCGCGGGTGAGGGGAAGCCAGGGAAGAAGTCAACCTCGCCCCTCACGTGCTGGCTGTGCCTGAAACCCTGCACGCGGAGAGAGGCGCTCTCCGGGCAAACCGGCGGTCCGTAATCCTCTGGCTCTTCAGTCCAGGAAAGAAGCGGGCCGAGTTCTGGCAGCTGCCGGTCGGGGTCGGGGTCCCGGCAGGCAGCCTGGTCCGGCAGGAGGTAAGACATGCCCGGATCCGGGGCAAGCGCCCAGGCGCTCTCGGGGCGCGCGTCCGGCCCCGGGGCTCGTCCGGCGCTTAGGTCCGCCCCGGCATCGGCGCAGGCCGCGGGCTCCAGTGGGTCGAGAGCCGGGCGCGGGGCGGGGGCGGCCCCCGGCCGGTCGGGCCCACCGGGCTCTGGGTCGGGGCGCGGGCCGCCCGCCAGGGAGGCCGGCCGGCCCGTCTCCATCTTCA